GCTTAGCCAGAGCAGTCTCCAAACAATCAAATTTCGAACACTAAAATAAGTAAAAAAGAAATGGAAATACTTGTAACCCACCTCATAAGGGGTGATCTGAGCATAGCTCTGAGTAGCTTGCAGAAATTCCTCTTTGGTCATTTCGAGATCCAGATTACCTCTAGCTTGACTCAAGTAAACTCGCTTGATGAGCTCCATTTTTGCCAGTAAACTGTTAAAGGCCGCATAGTACGGGAATGTGACCTAAAAACGAGAAAAATACATTTTTTTTGGAATCAAAAGTGGGACTTCCCCGAAATTGAAGCTCTTGGACATGGACTTTCTAGTATAACTGCCAAAAATGGCATTTGCTAACAACAGTTGATCAGATAGACAGAGGTTTTTAATTTGACTTCACTGAAGCAAAGGACGTTTTGGAACTGTTCCAAAGAAAGCAAAGGCACTATGAATTAATATTTGGGCAAAACATTGCTTTGCTGACGTCACTTTTTCCCATTCAGAGTATTGTCGTCCGTGAACGATGCACTGATGGAAAGCATTTCAGCTTCGAGCCAAAGTCAGGGATGGTGAGGTAATGCTCGGCAATCTGGGATAAGGAGGTTGGTAAATGGGGAGAGTGAACTGACGGTGTATTGTCGGAGAGGAAGTAATACCTAATAAGACTTAGTAAGGGTGTAGGGGCTTTCGCAATGATTTATACAGCTATTTAGAAAATTTCACAAATTCAAGGAAGTCGGAAATTTTCTGGAACTTGGACTGTTTCAATGCTACTATATTCTCCCTCCTCTAAGCTCATTTTGGAAGAAAACATCTTGGAGAAATAGGTATACTGTGGTGGCTACTAAATATTGGCGCTTCCTTTAATAATAATAAAATAATAAAATAAAATAATACAAATATTAGCTTCTCTTTTTGGAAATATGGTCAATAAACCGTGCGCCAATATTTAGTAGCCACCCTGTAGTGTAGTTTCGAGAAGGATGGGGGAGGGTGGGATAGAAAGGTAGTGGGGGAGCGGGCAAAGGGGGGGTGAGCTGTAGAAATCCTGTAACCGTAACTGGAGCTGAGTGGGTAGGAGTGGGTTCGATTCAGCCGAAATTCATCGAATTGTGGCCCACCCTGTTCCTCACTTGGGTGAGATCGTCCGACGACAAAACACTGAGTGGTTTTTTAAATTCCCTGAAAAAAGCCTTTTTGAGACAAAGAACTCACTTTTCCACCACGGAGATCCGGAAACTGAAAGTGGCTAGAAAATCTACAAACCGTTCACCAAGAACAACGATATGCAAATTGTTGCAAGGCGTAAACCTGTGTAAAAAAAGCATGGAACGCGCTGGGGGAAGGCCGAGGACAGGCGGTGGCCCTGATTGGTTGGCCACGCCCCGATCCAGCCCGTCCATGCCCTAGCAAAAGCTAGGCCTAACTATTTATAACACTGGATTTCGTGCCATCTTCAGGAAGCTAACCGCTCGAAGCAGTGATACTCCGGGCGTAATGTGCCATATGAAAACCTACAAAAGTACCTTGTGACCACTGGCTCCACCACCAGAGACGGCTATCAGGTTATCACGAACGAAGTCTGTTAGCAGATGTTTCTTGACGGTAGTCATGATATGTTGAAAATCTACTGAGGTAATGGCTCCATCTCCTTTCTTATCATATCTGGAAAAGCATCATCAATCACGTAAAACAGGAGATGGTAAAAGTAAGGGGCACCCGGAAGATTCGCCGCGCGGCGAGAAGGCAGAGACGCAGACGAGTCGGCGGACGAGTCGCAGCGCGTATTGTGCAATGTGGGACGTACTATGGTACATTCTATTTAACTTGACGCTAAATCGCTACAGTACGCGCTGCGACTCGTCCGCTGACCATCTGCGTCTCTGCCTTCTCGCCGCGCGACGGGCCTCCTGTCGGGTACCCAGATATAAATGGCCAATTAAAAAGACCGTAACAGCAAAATGAAGAAACTATGTAAAAGCGAATACAACGCATTTTCCCTTGGAATGATGAAGAAACCGAAAACTAACCTTTTAAATGCCTGAATTCCTTGTTCTTCATAGAAATCGTGTAGAAGCTGGGTAAATGCATAGTAATTAATACTTCGCTTTTTGTCGCTGAAATTCAAAAAGTTAAAATTCTCTCAACAACCAGCCAAACCGCCGGAGTTCCCTCAACTGCGGCCCTAACCGTCCCAGCAAGTAGCAGTGGAAACTAGGATATGGGATAAAGCGGTTGATTCTGATCCACTTACCTAGGCCCTGGGATGAGCCATGCACACGTCACCTACATCAGAAACTTCCAACTCATCTGTATGTGCATGAATACACCCCGATGACGTCTTACAGCCAGTTGAATTCCACACCAGCTTTTTTCTATTATATTTTTCTATTATGCTTCCTCTGTCATAGTTTTTTCCCACTTCACTAGCAAAATACATGTCTGTGGGGAAAAACTCCGGCTAGACTGGTCGGAAAACATGCTGTTTAAAGGAGGAATTCACGATAAGAACGAAGGTCAAAGAAGGGAAATTGCATAGTTGGGAGACAGGCGGACCTCCTGAGGGTGCTGACCGACGCGCAATTGGCAGCGAAAGATTTGACCTCGGCGATCTAGCATGGCTCACTCTTGGCGCGGTTGGCGGGTACGCCCACCGACTATCTAATCACTCGCCGCAGGTCTATACGTGGCGAGTGATTAGATAGCAGAGAGAGCGTAGTGTTGAAGAGGGCACAGCGATGAGAGTCGCATCAATGCGCAAATCAACGGGCAAGGAAGGAGTCCCGAGCCCATTTTTCGGGGTTTCGCGGCCGTATTCAGATGGATTCTTTTTCATTCTGCCTCATTTGACACCTCCTACGCCTTATTTCCAATGGAACGAACTTCCATCGTAAAATTTCATGCCGCGCTAAGCAATGCCTGCTGCAAGTGCGACGACGGCCACTTCAAAGCTATTTAGCGTCTACCCCAACCTAACCCATTCGATATCACGCTAATTAGCTTTTCTCAATTTCCCGTTGAGAAAACTCAACTATCGATGTATTCACTTTATCCCACACTTACTTATTCCCGATCTAAAAGGAAACTTTTTTTCAAAAAAATGCAAAAAAAACTAGAAAAAGGGCCTGCTTCGCAAAAAAAACTTTGATTTGTTGATTCAGGAATCGGTTATCTAAGCTTTGAGCAATTATTCACCAATTAGCCAATATGACATTGAGCGTTATCGAATGACTTAGTACTAGTAACTCACGCGCCGAAATATTTCTTGATGAAATCCGAGTTAAAATCAAAGTCGTCCATATCGTGAAGCGGTTCCGTGTGTCGGATGACTGCCTCAAACTCGTCACAAGTGATCGAGTCGCTGGCATTTCGGTCGAACATTTCGAATGCGGTCAAGTAAAGAGCATCAGGACTAAATGTGGAAAAATTTACACAAATATGCCGTATTCGTGTATGATTATAAAGATCAATTAGTTGAAAAAATATCGTCGAAATTGCGAAGTAGCAAAGTGTTTACCTGCACAAGAGCGCTTCAAAAAGCGCAAAACTCTTCAAACGAGATGTCGCCATCCTTCGTGGTGTCGGCAGCCGAAGCGAGCATCCGTACCGTTTCCTTATTGTAATTTTCCTCTGTGTACAGGCCGAGATATCTAAAGCAGTACACTCAAGCATTAGTCTGGGCTAACTTGTTTTAAAAATTATTTTAGCTGAAGTCAAGCCTCAGCAGGATAGGAGGCGTTGACAGTCTACTGTGGCGACGGAGCTTCCGCACGATCGTCTTCCCACAGGACACTAAACGTCCCTCTTCCCTTGGCACTGGACGCATACTAATGGAGAAAGTGAACAGCACTAGTCAGTTCTGCCCACCAAGGTAGCACGATCAAATGATTAAAGGATAAAGGATAAAGCATTTGCCGTTGATCAATCCCTTTTTGGGATGCGGCACGCATTCTACTTCCATTTGTACATTCGCAGTGGCGTTTGAATGTGGCCTATACAATGACTTGCGGGGGCCAGCCGATGTTCAAGTCAGTGTTTTTATCCTCCCAGACAAGTCTGGTACCAATTAACCGACCCCGGAGGGATGGAAGGCTTGGTTGGCCCGGGCGACTCACGACCCAGGATTTGATCCCCGGACCGCTCGCGTGGTAAGCGTGCCACTTGTCACTGCACCACTTCCGCCCTACAGCCACAAAAAAACCTAAAGCTGGTCGTTGCCAGAGCATCCACATTAGGCCCTACATCTCAGGCGCACATTTAATTAGGACCCTTCGTGAGAACATCTCAAAGCGCTCCTATCAATGATTTCTTGTTTCAAATGTGCCATACCAACATTTTTCTTGCACCCGACAAGTACGTCAATTGGTAGGGGAAGGAGGGTGTAACCCAAGCTGATTCCTCTTACGACTGCCGAGCGAAAAATTCTGTCAAATCAATGCCCATTTCAGATGCTTTTTGCTTAATTTTCCTTACGCTCCCGGCCAGGATACTAACACCTGATTGTTTTTTTTAATCTCAGTCCTGGGGAATTTGAAGGGTTGAGGGGTAGGAGCCTGATGTTAGGGGTGATTCGTCTTGATATTGACAGAATTTTCTAGGAAACAGAGAGGATTCATGGTCACAAGTGGACGAGAAAACTGTAGTGGAAGGAAAACGGCGACTAGAATGTGCTCAAGAGCACTACAACAAATACATTACAGTGCTACAAAAGTGGTAAATAACAAAGGTGTGGCAAATTCTTACTTTCTAATAAAATCCTCTGAGGTCATGTACTTCTTGCCATCGCTGTCTGCCTTGGATGCAAATCGCTCGAAGATTGGGCGAAGAACGTCTGGGTTCGCACGTGGGATGGCACCTGAGAAAGGACTTCAATCTTGGAAAATAATAAAACGTAGTCTTAAGGAATCAATCCACGGTGCAAGGAAAACTCACCCCTCGCTGCCAGTGCCATTTCCGCATTGCAATGAGCTGTTCGAAATGGGTTAATCCGAGCACGTAATGAGGAGAACTGAAAGTGGCCATTTTTTGAAAGGCGCTAAATTTTTTTCCAGATGTTTATTGCAGTGACAGGCCCCCACTAATGTAAATTAAGAAGTGGTAGAGACGCCCCAATTGAAAAAATCATCCAGTCTGGCGGGAAGACTGCGATTCCAAGAGTGATAATTTATCGACCTCAGCAGTGAGACTGAGTCTCACCTTTGAAAAAGGTGACGGAGTCAATAAATGTATGTAGTACAAAAGCGTTCGCTTCTAGGAAGGAAAGCAAGTAGTTATAGGACGAAAAATCTATTGTAGGACGGTAAGAGCACCAACGCTGTACCATACTGTGATTGGTTTCAACATGCTATGTTGGAACCATAGGGTAGCTAAAAATCTACTGACACAACAATTCATTGCAAAGGATCAATGGTATCTGCGATCCAAGATGGTGTACTAACGCATGGCGCAACACCAACGAATTGGTCGATATTCGAACTACATTTCATGCACATTCCACGCTCAACATGAAGCCAAAAAACTTTCGAACTTATAAGCTCCTTCGCTATATACTTCAAATCTTGGGGAGAGGGGAGAATGCCCATCGCGGTCGTAGGGGCGAAGTCACTCACCAGAAAAGGCTCCAAAGTTTCCACGGAATTGTGGATGAGGCTTGGGTCAACTGATGGGGTCATGAATACTGTTCACAAGTATGAAGACCGAAATTTCTACTTGGACATTTCAAGCAAGTTGTGAGCGACTGAAGTGGGCAAAAAATGCATCAAAAAGTAGGTTGTGGCGATAAGTAAAGGCGTCAGATGCTCCTTTGTGTCGAAACGAATGTCATTC